GACATTGTCTAAGTTCCTTATCTCATGTCAGTGATAGATAAAATTGCAGATGGAGGAATAAGCAAAGTCAATGCAGATTTATTAATGAAAAATGAGAAATTAAGGAAAAGTTAGAGAAACTCATCCAAGTGTGAAGTGTACTGAGAAAGGGGAAATTATAAGCTGCATGTCTGGTGGTTTCGTACATGACTTATTACAGAAACTAGACAAAGACTAAGATAGTTTTTGTTGAATTTGTTCAATCTCTAGGCATGTCCTTGGGCCAAGCAGGCCAGGAGGCAGCAAGCTTTGCAAATGCCTCCCTGGCCCAGCTGGAGATGATCACATGCTATTTGCCCGGTAATGACAGTGATCATTTATGGAAGCTCATATCTATCCATTTTTAAGTTTCTTTGTTAGCTGCCAACTTTAGCTGACCTACTGGCAGCTACAAACACGGGCTAGTATTGCAAGTTGCTTACCCTTTAGTTGTTGCTGGTCTAACCTTGTCTTGTGTCATGCTGGCTATTGATTGAATTATGCTCTCTTTGAACCCTTGCTTTTTTGATCAGCTTGTAGTTTGACCATAGACCTTTTCCCTTACTGCCTATGGGACACTTAATCCTGCCTTAAAAGTATATACAGTTTGAAAAATTACTATCTTTAAAAATGTTTGGTGGTAAAGTGGTAAGGGTAAGGTTGAAACATGGTCTTTTACATTGTTGCTCAGGCTGGTTTAGAACTCACTGTGTATTCCAATGTGGACACTCACTTGTGTCAGACAGCCTGCTTCAGACTTCTGAGTTGCAAGTATGAGCTACTACTATACCTGGCTCTAGAGCCCTTTTCTTAACGATTTCTGTTCATAGTTCTTAAATCATAAAAATCAGTTGAGACCTGCTGTTAAAAGGATCACGATAGAAAAATGGCCTGGTAGATTGCTAGGAAGTTGAAGTCAGGGGTGTTTATAAGGTCGTTTTCCATATGTATCAAATCAGAAGGAGTGGCATGGTTAACAGTACCAACAGCAGGGCAGGAGTGGAAAACGGTAGCTTGGAATCAGCTTTGTGCTGACTGAGCAGAATCTTTAACCTTGTAGGGATGCACGGGTAGGGATACTAAATGTCAAACTGTGTAGACAGGGTAACCTGCCTGTGTCAGTGGTGAAAGGCTTCTGAGAGTTTTGTTTTCTCCTAACCTTTCTATATTTTATTCCTCTTTCAAGATGTTATTTATTTATCTATTTTACTTTATGTGTGTGTACACCATGTTCTTGCTTGATGCTTAGAGAATTCAAGAGAGGGTTTTGGATCTCCTGAAACTGACATTAAAGAGGTTGTGAGTCTTGAAGATACAGAGAACCTTGGTGCTGTTAACCACTGATCCATTGCTCCAACTCCCTATTTTTTTTCTTTAAATTTTTTTTTAAATATAAGCTTCATTGAGAGAGGGAAGAGCAATAATATGGGCAAAGGCGTCAAGACCAAGATGGGGAAACCCACAGAAACAGCTGACCAGAACTGGTGGGAGTTCACTGACTCCAGACTGACAATTGGGGAACCTGCATAGGACTAATCTAGGCCCCCTGCATGCAGGTGACAGTGGGTGGCATGGACAGTTTGTGGGGCTACTGGCAGTGGGACCAAGAGTTATCCCTAATGCATGGTCTGGCTTTTTGGAGCCTGTTTCCAATGAAGAGAAACCTTGCTCAGCCTACACACAGAGGGGGAGGGCCTTGGTCCTGCCTCAACGTGGTGACATGACAGAATTGTTGACTCCTCATGGGAGGCCTTACCCTCACTGAGGAGCAGATGGGGAAGAAGGGAGGGAGGGGGAACTGGGATTAGTATGTAAAAAATATATATTAAAATATATGTATGTGTGTGTATGTGTGTGTAAAAGCTTCATTGAGATTTATTTCCTCCTCTTTTTTCAGCCCTAAGGAAGCACTAATCTGTTTTTTATTTATTGCCCCTCTTTGAACATTTCGTAGAAATAAAATCATACAATGTTTGAAGACTTGTGTCTGGCTCATCCTTGCTATAGCACATGTTCGTACTTTGGGGGGTTAAATAATATCCAGTGTATGGATTACCACATTTTGTCCATTTCAGCACTACACTTTTGGTTCTTTTGACTAATGCAGTCATAAATACTCACGTGGAGGTTTTTAAGTCGAAATATGGGTTGTTTGGCTGTATCACTAGAAGTGCAATTATTAGATCAAATAGAACTACTAGATAATGACTGGTATGTTCATCACTTCTCTGATTACTGCCTATTTGTTTTTCTTTTTTTTTTTGAGAATACTTTTTTAGTTTCTATGATCAAACTCACATAGGTATGAACTTACATATTTAGTACAGTGCATTAACCCTGTACAAATGAGAAAAATTAAATTTAACATTTCCAGACCAATATGGCTATAAATTTTTGTGCAGTGCCAACTCAACATGGCATACTGAGATACCTTTTCTCAAAGTTGATAACACAGCTAAAGTTTACTAAAATCCGTATTGTGCGTGTATGTGCGTATGTGTGTGTAGAGACCAATAAAAGCAGTATATCATCAATAGGTTACTGCCTCTTTGTATATTGTCTTTGGAGAAATATCTTTTTAAAATTTAAGTTGTCAGAATGTCTCTGGTGCGTCACTAGGTATGCTAATGCATACTTTATTTTTTTGGTTTTTTTGAGACAGGGTTTCTCTGTGGTTTTGGAGCCTGTCCTGTAACTAGCTCTTGTAGACTAGGCTGGTCTCGAACTCACAGAGATCCACCTGCCTCTGCCTCCCAAGTGCTGGGATTAAAGGCGCGCGCCACCACTGCCTGGCTGCTAATGCATACCTTTAATCCCTGCCCTCAGAACCAGAAGCATTCATTTAGCTCCTTGTGAGTTCCTGGCCAGCCTGGTCTATATAATGAGTTCCAGAATAGCCCAAGTTACATTTAGAGACCCCGTCTCAAACAAATAAACAAACAAACAGAAAATGTCTGAAATTGTTTTCATTAGTGATGAAATTGGTTCTGGCTTTTGGTAATTATTATAAATTAAAAATATCTATTATAAATATTATAAATATATTTAGTAGTAAGGCTTTCTCTATTTTACTTTAGTGCAGAATCTTTTTTTAAAAAAGATTTATTTAATTATATATACAGTGTTCTTCATGCGTGTATCCCTGCAGGTCAGAAGAGAGCACCAGATCGTATTAGAGATGGTTGTAAGTCACCATGTGGTTGCTGGGAATGGAATTCAGGTCCTATGGAAGAACAGCCAGTGCTCTTAACCTCTAAGCCATCTCTCCAGCTCTAGTCCAGAATCTTATAGGAATCTAAACTGTAAGAATGCTATAAATGAATATTTAGGCAATTGGCTGTTAGAATGATTTCCAGAAGGTCCAATTTATATTTCTGGTGCCAGGTTTGTGTGTATCTTTACCTGTGCAGCCCCTGCCCTATACCAGGGCCTGGCACATACTAGACAAGTACTTTGCCATGAGATCCTGGTAGTAGTAATTATATATTCCTGTTCAGTTGAGATGTCACTTGTTTTTAATTTGCATTTATCTACTACTAGTGAGATCCTAACTTTGCAAATGTAGTCATTTGTTTTATGAGTCTTTTAGTTTATGTCTTTTATTTTTAGTTTTTATCTTTTCCTCATCATGCTTATATTAAACATTTTTCTCAGTTCATTGCCACACCAACTCTAGTGTCATCTGTGTGACATGACATATGTCATTATCCCGGATGGGAGTTACATGTCCTATGGGACTAGGCTTCCTGGAGGTCAATGGCAGACGGCCTGGTATCAGCCGCCGTTGAGGCATAGATGGGTTTCTCGATTAGCTGGCTATGCGGGATATGGGCTTTACACAATCTCTTTTATGAGCTAGTTCCAGGACAGGAACCAAAAGCTACGGAGAAACCCTGTCTCAAAAAATCCAAAAAAAAAAAATAATAATGATATTCTTTATATCTACAAGACAAGGATTATCTCTTCAGGAACAGCTCTGGGATAGGGAAGCACAGTATGGGAATGTATAAAACTACAGCAAAACCCTTGCCATACACAGGGTGTATGATGAGCAAGGGAACAGAAGGGTTAATGTTGATGGACAAAAAGTGTTATATTATACTTTGAATTTTATGGATAGACTTGCTAGATCCCGACCCCCATGGTGTCTGCTGCATAAAAAGGTACAAAGAAGTATATTTCAGCAGATGCAGAGAGCTGTCAGGCACATTTGGTCACTAGATGAGATAAAGAAAGGGTTAGAAAGAAAGCCTGCAGGAGGGCCATGAAAGCAGCCATGTAAGCGATAATGAAACAGAAGCTTTCTATTCGTAGATAAGATGAAACCACTTGTCTGAGGTTTACGTTCCCAGGGACAAGAGTTCCTCTTCAAAGGGTGTTTTATGTCTAACACCTGTTCCTGAAAATATGCTTTTCTTAGAAATCACTGATGTAACTTAAAGAAGCTTTCATACTGTGCCGACTGATGATACATGACCTTCTGATTTGTTCCTTGTTTAAATACTATATAATGAAAACATGAATTCAGTAAAATTGCAGCAGATTCCAACCACTCTCTGTGTATTGTGTCTGTCTGTCATCTCCAACCTCGTGCCTTCTTGAGTACCAAGACACTGCTTCTCCCACAGTCTGAGTGGCTCCACTGAGCCGGTCTGTGGCAGTTCATGACTTTTTTTCTAAAGTGACTTTTATTTAGATATTTTGAGTTTTGATATAATCATTTTTGCTAGTTTTTTCCTGTTGTTCATTTAGAAAGTTTTTTAAAAATTCATTCCTCCTAATATTTGTGACTTCAATATTCAATTTATATGATTAATTTGGAAATCATTTTAAGTTTTAGTAACTACTGAGTATAATTTAATTTGCTTAAACTCTTATTTTATCATTTCTCATCAATTTTCTATTTGCATATTTTAAAAGTAATTTTGTCTGATTTGAAAGACAATCTGCTCTTATGCATATACTTTTTATCTTTATTTTAGACTAAAGAGAAATTATCTTCTATTATAACTGACCTCAACATAATCATGGAGCCCACAGAGTATTCAGAATTAAGTGAATTTGCATCTAGGTAAGCTGTTTTACAAATTTAATTGCTTTGTGGTTGATTTTTGCTCTACAGGTTTTAGAATTTTTTATATAATTTTTTGCTTTCTGTTTTTTAATATATTTAAATATTTTTCTTTTTAAAAATTTTATGTGTATGGGTGTTTTACCTGAATGTATGTTTGTATACCATGTATGTGCAGTGCCTGTGAAGACCAGAAAAGGTCACTGAATGTATGCTGTTGACCTTTCAGCTGGATCTTTTAACACATTAATCATAACTTTCAGTTTGAGACTGGGTTTCCCTCTGTGGACATAACTGGTTTCAAGCTTTCACTCTTCGACCTTACGTTCTTTGTAGCTGAGATTACATGCCAAACCTTAGATATATTAGAACTCCCATTTAACAGATACCAAACTTTGACTCATCTTTGAGTCCAGGTCTGCTGATTGGTTAACAGTGGGTTAAATCGTCTTAATTTTTGATTTAATGATAGACATTGCCTGTGGAAAAACAAACTGAAGCTGAGTACTTGTGGCCAACATTTTATCACGCTGTCAATGTGGGGAACTAACTCAATGGCAGCCAACAGTGGAGCTGGATTTGGGATTATTATTATTATTGCTATTTTAAAGATATATTTTTATTTTTAATTATGTGTATGTGCACATGAGTTCAGGTACCCTCAGAGTCCAGGAGCAATCCCCTGGAGCTGGAGTTACAGGCCCAGACAAGGGTGCCTAGAATTGCATTTAGGTACTCTTCAAGTACTTGGTGTTTTCTTCTGAGGTATCTCTGCATCAGGATTTTTTTTTCTTTGCGTTATGGAGGGTGTGTTGAGGGTTGTCTCTCTCTGTTACATAGGCTGCCCTAAAATTGTGATCATCTTGCCCTGTCTTCCCAATGTTGGGTCCCAGGGGTGTACAAATAATGGGTACAGACCACCAAAATTTAGGAACAAGAGCCATACTTTATTCCAGTCACTGCGGGGCAAAAAAAAAAACAAAAAAAAAAAACTTGCACCTCACTAGGGCCACGGGTCAGAGTTAAGCTTCTGACACTAAGACAATGAGAGCTGGTTTTGAGCCTCTTCTTAAAGTAAAAATCAAGCACCAGATATGGATCAAAGAGCTTTTACAATCTTGAAGTCAGGCTTAAAATTATGTTACATTTTAAGATTTACACCGTTTTGATTATAGGATACTAACTTAAGATGTTTGAGAAAGCCTGTGGCTGGCACAGCTGCTTTTTGCTGTCCCTTAGAGAATGCAAGGCAGAGAAAGAAAATAGAGTCCCATCGGAGAGTTAAAAGTTAAGGGAATGCAACGCAGGGAGTTCCATAGAGGTAATAGTTCGAAGCTAACCTTTGCCCACCATAATCGTCTAGCTGGAAGGGAGAAAGCAAAAGTTAAAATGTTTACCTCTGTTCACAGTAGCTATAGCAGCTCTTAAGGCAGAAAGCAATAGTTAAAAGCTAAAAGTGGGGGGCTGGAGAGATGGCTCAGAGGTTAAGAGCAGTGCCTGCTCTTCCAAAGGTCCTGAGTTCATTTCCCAGCAACCACATGGTGGCTCACAACCATCTGTAATGAGGTCTGGTGCCCTCTTCTGGCCAGCAGGCATACACACAGACACAACATTGTATACATAATAAATAAATATTTAAAAAAAAAAAAGCTAAAAGTGGCTGTCAGCTTCAGTTTTCCTAGAATGTGTTTAGGCTTACGATTTTTATATTCTGGGTTCTTCATCAAGTGGCTGAGATTGCAGGCATGTGCCACCACTGATCAGTGTTGGTATAGGTTCACAGACCCAATGAATGCCTTGTCCCTTCCATGGAACTAGACAGATTTCACCTCTGTTCCTCTTTCAGAAGCAGTTATTCTTTGTCTTGGCATCAGGAGTGGTCTTAGGCCTCTCCCAGAGGCAGATGGATTGACCTCCCTTCCAAATTCTTGGAAGCCATGGATTTGTTTTCTTTCATTGCTTTGCCATCTCACCTTCAGTCACTTAAAGTTTCTGATTCTGACAAGGGTTGAGGCTTCATGCCTGTACTTCAGCAACAGTTGATCACTTTTTGCATGTCTGTGTTACTGATAGTTCTTTCTAGACTTCCACCATGGCCAAGTCTATTTGATACAATGCTTGTGTGTGTGTGGTTCATTTCTCTCAAAGATGGACAAACTGTGTCTTAGAAATATTTAGAAGAAATATTTCATATCGAAACCCATTTATACCCATTCTTTTACATGTTGAGGATAGTTGACTTCCGTATAGTGACAGAGTAATTAGGATAGAAATTGTTACACTCAGATCATGGGGGTTCCCCCAAAACCGTGATGGTGTCTGCACTCTTTTATAAAAGCAAAGAGCCTTTATTCAAACTTAAGCTTGAACTCTCCATCTGTCTAACACAACAGTTGAGAGCAGAGAGTGCCAAGCCCAGCTGGGGTAGGGTTTTTATCATAGTAGAGATTGGGTTGAAGGAATTTCCAGGGTTCAGGACCCTGATTGGCTGACATTTGTCTAGGGGTGTTGGCAAAAAGGGAATATGTGAGTTCTGGGCTCAGTCTAGTGTTCTTTATCTAATCTTATCTAATGGTTGGAATGTCAGATACTTCCCTTTAGATGTTGGCCCTCTCTGGGTGGTGTCAGCTTATGGCTTTTTCTGGAACCTGGTGCTGCTTGCCTTGGCAGTTGTGTGACCAGGCTGCCCTGGGCTCCATATTCCCCACTTTTCACAAGTATCAATGACAGGACCCAATCATGGGTCCTGCTTGCCTAGGGAATAGGGGGTGGTATTGGGACCTCAGTACCATTAGCTTACAGATTTTTCTAGGGCAGTGACATTCGCATCAATTGTCATTCTTAAAGCCCTGTAGCTTTTTATCTTTGAGTGCAGTCAGATTATAATCCTGAATGATTTATATAGGAATAATAGTTTTATAAGGCCATATAATACCTCTTTGATTCTGCATAAAGAAGGTCAAGTGTCTTATTGCAGAGTTATTTTGTTTCATAAATCCATCAATTGACAGTTCTGAGCCTATTTTCATAGTATGTCAATGGGCCTTATAGGTAGTCATTTTGTCCCCTATGTAAGGGAGTTTTCTTTTGACTTAGCTTTTCAACCAGGGAGCACAGGACAGTGTGTTCTTTCCTATAACTACTTCCTGCTGACTTTGGGGCATTGTCAGGGGCCAAGAAGGCTGAAATGCTAGTCAAAAGCAAAGAAGGAATTCAGACAATGAGGTATTTATCAGAAGCATCTGGTTCGTAGACTCTGTTGAAGAGATGGGGAGCATTTACATGGGCTGGACTGGTCCACATCAGCTTTTAGCAAGTCCAGGGCTCGCAATTATTTAGAGCAGGTTGTAGTCAGCAACTGATGCATACATGTGTCTGCCAGCCAAGTGGAAACTTGTTGAGACAAGTTCAAACTAGGAACAGAAGTTAAAATTTATGTACTTAAAGGAAAATAATATTTGAAACTTTCAGGCCCATATTGAAATCCATATTATAGAAAAAAGCAGATAACAGGTATCTGTAAAACAGCAGGAATAGACTCATACCTTTGAGTCCTAGCAAAAACTATAGATTTGGGTTAGAAGCATGTATTTTTTTCTGCTGTCCAGAGAGCCAGGTATGGATTGGACAGTGATGTCTTTGACCTGATAAGAAACACCCATACAGTTTATTACCAACATGACAAGTAAAATAAATTACCCAAATGGTGGTATCTTAAACCATTTTTTAAATCAAGAGACCTAGCAGCTTTAGAAAAAGCAAGGTTTGATTTTTATATATAAAATGAGCTAACAATCTAGCTATAGCCTTGTGGAAGGATTTGGATGCCTGTTGCTGCTAAGCTGACAGTTTGCTAGCCTAGTCATCAATACTTACAGAGATCCCAGAAGGATAAATAAATTATACCTGAGAACAGACCAAGTTGCTTCCGAATCTATTAAAAATGACAGGGACTAGTCCATTATAGTTAGCCATACCCAGGTCTCCATAGCATTGGAAATAGAAGTATCAGAACAGTTGTCTTAGCCAAGCATGTATGGTAATTTTTTTTTCCTGTGGAAGAGGTGCTTGGAAAAGACCAACTTTATTTTGTCCAGGCAAAAGTGGTACAATCAGTTTTACAATATCCTGTTGTTTGTACACAGTCTAGGCCAGATCCTGGAAGCAGGTATTGCATTAGGGCATCTTGCCCAGTTGTCAGCATCATCATAATCCAGGTGGAGACATCATGGTATCCCATAATTCTTGGAACCTTAGGTCAATGCTAAGATCTGGGAGTCTCTGTCTAATATAAGCTTTTTAATCACCATTTTAAATGCCATATTCTGCAGATCTCTGAAGTATTTGAGGACTGCCTAGCTTTATCTGATTAGACAAACTTTGTTTCTAAGTACTTGTTTTAAGCTTGACTTTAAAAACATATACAGGGAACTAAATAAGATTTATCCCTGTAATTATATCAGTGCTTTAAGGATGACAATTAACTTGTATTTCCTATCAGTCTATAATACGTTATCAGCTTTTATAAGACTAGAACTTTACATTCTGTCAGGTTTAGCCTTAAAAATAGTGATTTTCAGTTGAAGCTAATAAACTAAACTAGTCATTCTGAGGGTAAGAACAGAACAAATTTGTTTGCAACTGTTAATGCTGCCTCCTTAGAAGGCAAGGAAAGTCAACAAGGAAAAGATTCCTTGCCGAAATGGGAGCAGGAGGAGAGCCCAGGAACTAGCATTGCCCTTGACAAGTTCTAAGGCACCACAACCACAGGTACCGGAAGGGCCACAAGTTTATTTTTCCAGAGATAAGGAGGGTGACACCCTTTTTAGGGACTAAGAATGTTCTCCAAATCCCTGAGGAAGTGGGAGCTTTATCTGAGTACCTGACCTTGGGAAAAGAATTTTGTAGTTTTATCTCTGTTGTTGTGAGCCTTACAAAACAACAATTTTTCAATTGAAGTTCCTCCTATTATCAATACAAAAATTTTATATGACTCAATT